ACATGCAATTTGTGCGTGTATTAGAAAACAACGTTCTGCAGTTTATTTACTAATTGTTTAAGGCCATTTCACGATTTCAATCATCATACAGTAACCAGCAACAATCACCACTTCCTCTTCTCATCGAAGACATGCGATGCAGTACTAAACAGTCTCTCGCTGTCGGTGCTTGTAATGATTTTTGCAGTTTTAAATGCTTCCACACTGCTGGCATGTTTGTTGCATTATAAAGAGCTCTCACTCTACGCTGGTTGCTATTTGATCTTGTCATGTCATTGTTCAGTACAATTTATTCTGTCTTTTGCTTATTCAGCTGAACACCGATAGAGCTTTTTTTGCTATTTTCGGTCGAATAATTTCGGTTGCCGAACATTCGTTGCATCCCTATTTAAAAAAATAAACCACAATCACCCAATGACAGTCTAAATTAGATTAATAATTTAATTTGAAATAAAATGCTATTTTCATTGACTAAAATTACATGCCATTTTGGCCATTGACTAAAATTGATATGACAAGACAATTTTCTTTTTGTCAAAAGACAAAAACTACTACAAAACAAAAATAACTACTGTGTAAAACTGAATACTGACAAGGATGAGATGAAATGGATGAATAAATCTATGAATGAATACCTGCTTAAAGGCCTGTAAGACCTCCTGCCTCTGGCTAAAATGTCGGAAGAGGAGGTGAAGGGCTCGTGACACCAGTGGAGGATAGTCGTGCATGGTCAGGTGCAGCAAGACCCTCAGAAACGTCCGGCCACCGTGATCATCAAGATCTAGTGGGGTGTTTTCTTCACTAGATACACAAACACACACAGATTCACACACATACGGCACACAAACATAAGACAAATTATCAAAGAGCACAACCTTCTTACTTTGTCTTTTTGTAAAAAGATATATATATATATATATATATATATATATATTTTATACAAAAATAATGAGCCTAATGTACAAATAATAGTAAAGATACAGTGATATAACTTTTTGGTAAATTGACACCTAATTTTTTGTTTTCATGAGGTGACACACCTCAAAAGTGAGCTTGTTTTTCTCCTTGTCTGAGAACGGGAAACTCTGGCACACAACATCTCGCAGGTAATTCTCCACAAACTCCATCGTCTGAGAGAAGCGCTCCTTCACCTGATCGCGTGATGTCCCATCATTATCATAACTGGTAAGAAACAGAAAAACAAGTGGCTGATGAACAGACCACTCACTAAATGGGCTTTTCACTGTTCGCTATTTCTAAAGTGAACCACTTACTCATCAATGGCAATTTGTGAAGGGATTTCAGACCACAGCCGAGCATATTTGACAGGGGTAACCTGCTCCTGAGGGTCACGGTCTACATGCATGTGCAGCATCATGCGGCAGAATGAGGCTCTGAGGTCAAAGGGTAAGTCTTCGTCTGACATGCAGCGCAGGATCAGATCCACATCCAGTTGTGCTGATATCTTGTTAATGGCCAGGTATTGCCGATCCAGACACATCCGTGCAAACAAATTCAGCTGATACCTGACAGGAGATGCTATTATTACAATTCTGCATCCTTTTCCTCGCATCGCATGTAAGTGTAGGTGTGTGTGCATACCTGTAATAATTAATAACTTCCTGGTCTTCTGTGTGTCCATCTTTGGCATCCTGTGCAAGCTCTCTGATGCTCTTACTCTTCATCTCTCATAGTAGTTAAGGGCACTTAATATAAAATGGAACCGAAATTTTTTTTGTCAAAAGGAAAAAACTACTACAAAACAAAAAATACAGTGTAAAACTGAATACCGACAAGGATGAATGAATGTATGAATGAATGTATGAATGAATACCTGCTTAAAGGCCTGTAAGACCTCTTGCCGCTGGCTGAAGTGTCGGAAGAGGAGGTGAAGGGCTCGTGACACCAGTGGAGGATAGTCATGCATGGTCAGGTGCAGTAAGACCCTCAGAAACGTCCGGCCACCGTGATCATCAAGATCCAGTGGGGTGTTTTCTTCACTAGATACACAAACACACACAGATTCACACACATACGGCACACAAACATAAGACAAATTATCAAAGAGCACAACCTTCTTACCTTCCTCCGAAAATCCCCTCCGCTTGCTCTTCAATGTGCTCAAAGTCCAGCGCACCTAACAAAGACAGTGGTTATTCAGACAACATTTTACCCATGCAAGCTGATACTGACACAAACACACACTTGCTCATTTTACCTTGTACACTGGCAGGAAAGTCCTGATTTACAGACGGCTCTGTTTGAGAGTTGCTCTCATCAAACTCGGTTTTAAAGATACAGAGCAGGCAGGAGATCCTGTAGTCCAAACGGACATTTAGAATGAACTACATAAAAAATGAGAGAGTCAATAAAGTTTTTTTTTACTTATACACAACTAGTTTGGCATTTACCAGGCATTCAGCCCACAAATTTCTCAAATAATGATTTAAACGGAACATTACAATCCAATTAATTATGGACTAGGATGTGTTTTAACACCTGTAGGATTTCAATGATCTTGAGTTTGGTGTCCATCACCAGTATGTCTTGTTTCTGAGGTTCACTCTGGGATTTAACTTCTCTGTCTGGAGGGTTGTGGTTGGTGGCTGGCAGAAATCCCCCACCCCTCAACACCACCTGTGTCATCAGCTCTCCCACCCCATGGATGGACCGCATCACATTACTTCCTATAGAGGTGGTCAGAGAAAGACTTCAGAGCACTTTCACATAAGCAATTTTTCAGTAAAACAGTTTGATGTATTTACTTGAAGTGACAGCTATTTTTTGAACTCCATAGCTAGTGGTGTTTCGGACCTTTGCCACGGTCTCCAGGCAGCTTGATGGGAAAGGGAGTGCTGATATGGACGCAGTCCAGGATGGCCAGCAGGATTTTGGTCAACCTTAGCAGGTCACAGAAGTTATAGAAACCAAAATAGATAAGGTTCCTCGCCAGGTTCACCACCTACAGAACAGACAGTGGAAAGTGGAAATGCGTGCTGAAAAAAATAAAAAACTACTAAGTTTTTTACATTTTTTTAATAAAATGCAGCTTCCCGCAGAAATACTGCAATTAATAACTTCCTGGTCTTCTGTGTGTCCATCTTTGGCATCCTGTGCAAGCTCTCTGATGCTCTTACTCTTCATCTCTCCTCTACTGTCCTTCCAGAACAACCATACCTCCTCCTCATCCTCCTCTTCCTCCTCTGCGCTCTCGCCAAGCACTGTTCCTGCCACCTCAAACCTTGATAACACAAGCCTGACACACAAACACACACACACATTCACTCAATAATACACTCACAGACATCTAGCCATGGGCTAACTATTTATAACGCTTCATGCATTTCATCACACTTTCTGGTTTGAATCAGTGTTGATGGGATGTTTTGATTTTCCCTCGATCATGTGACTGCCTGTTCGATATTGTGCTTGCTGAATTATATGAATACATTTTATTTTGGATATTTTTTATTTTTAGCTTTATTTCTATTGTAATAGATTTTAAAACGTCATTTATTCCTGTGATGGCAAAGATGAATTTTCAGCAGTCATTACTCCGGTCTTCAATGTTACATGATCCTTCAGATAACATTCTAATATGCTGATTTGGTGCTCAAAAAACAATTCTCATTACTAATAAGTGTTGAAAACAGTTGTGCTGCTGGTGGAAACCGTGATACATTTTTTCAGGATTCTTTGATGAATAGAAGATTCAAAAGAACAGGATTTATTTGAAATACATTTTTAATAATGTCTTCAATCAGTTAAATGCATCCTTGTTGAATAAATCTATTAATTTTCTTTTTCTTTTAAATCATACTCCAAACTTTTGAACGGTAGTATACTGTATATTGCTCTTAATATGTGCATAGCATAATAGTCAGAGTAGGGGCTTGGTTGTACTTGGTTTCGATGAGGATGTCTGCATTTGCTGGGTCCAGCACAGCATTACAGATGAGTTCTTGTGTGACAGGGATGGATTTATTCATAGACACACACAGATCTGACAAGTAGTCCAGAAATCTAGAGATACAGGGACAAAGAAAACTCAAGGGGTCTGCTAAATGAATAAATGTAAATGACCAAGAACATTCATGCAGATATATTTTCGCACACCTGGGCTCTCTGTTCTTGCGGACCAGGCTGACTTTGTCTTTTTGTAAAAAGATATATATATATATATATATATATATATATATTTTATACAAAAATAATGAGCCTAATGTACAAATAATAGTAAAGATACAGTGATATAACTTTTTGGTAAATTGACACCTAATTTTTTGTTTTCATGAGGTGACACACCTCAAAAGTGAGCTTGTTTTTCTCCTTGTCTGAGAACGGGAAACTCTGGCACACAACATCTCGCAGGTAATTCTCCACAAACTCCATTGCTCTTTATGATGAATTGCATGTTGTATTTGTCAATTTGTCAAGTCGCTTTGGATAAAAGGGTCTGCTAAATGAATAAATGTAAAGGACCAAGAACATTCATGCAGATATATTTTCGCACACCTGGGCTCTCTGTTCTTGCGGACCAGGCTGACGAAGGTGTCTATCTCAGCTGCAGTGATGTGTTTCTCTAGAAGCTTCCTGTTGTTGTGCAGCAGGGCTGTGATAGTGTCTTCAGCAAGCACATCATATCCTATCTGCTTCTGCATGAAGCGGAACTGCTTTGCGATGTACTCCTAGAGAGGGGGAAAGGGGGAATATTGCACATGTAGTATACAAGTGCACAAGTGCATGTAGTATAAGGGGTTGTGACTGTATTTTGTAGTAGCGATAGCGTAGTTTGGTTTGCATTTATTTTTGTAGTTTAGTTTACCTGATTTTTGCGATAGTCCTGTTGTGAGTGACGTAGGACTCTGTAGCAGAGCCGACAGATGTGACGAAAGGGTGCATGACGTTGGTCTGCGAGCTCTTCCAGTCGCAACATAGGGCCGTCCCCGCTATCAGTGAATGGGGCCTGCAGCAGCTTGAATATCTGGTCAATCACAGCACAAGATAAAAGGTCATTTAAATGTTAGTGAAATTATTTAAAACTAAACCTAAGATGTGATATAAAAAGTACCTGTTTGAGTATGTTCTGCTCTCTCATGAGTTTCTGCCGCTCTCTGTTAGGTTTGTTGACTGTGATCTCCAGCACATCCTGAGCACTGCTGGGAATGTCCACCACAAAATACACCAGATCCTCCAGCAGCTTTGTCACTGACCTTGTGTAAGAGAGTCATCAGGACACAGTGTGTTTTTGTAAGTGTGAGAAGACTTAAAGAATTAGCATAAAAATGGATTGGTTAAAAAATATTATTGTATCATTACAAGGCAGAAATGGAAGGAAATCAAAGAAAAATGGAAATAAATCATAGATGAACAGACAGATGGATGAATGAATGGATTTGTGAAAGAATGAAACAAATGGACAGATAAATGAACAGACAAATGGATGGAAGGAAGGTCAGATGGGCTGGTAGGTGGGTGGATTTATGGATGGACAGATAAATGAATGAAACAAGGAAGCAAGGAAGAAAGGAAAATATAGAAAAAGAAAGGAGAGATGGATAGATGAAAAGAACAAAAGAAGTAAAGAAAGATGGGAATATGAATGTAAAAATGGTCAAATTAATGAATAAATGATTGAAGGATGGAAGGACAAATACAGAGACGGATGACCGAATGAATGGATGGCTAGATGGCTGAAGGAAAGAAGGACAGACAGATAAATAGATGAATAGGTGGACAAACGGATAGATGGATGGAAAGAAGAAATAGTTGAAGGAAGGAAGGACAGATAGATAGATGGATGGATGAAAATACTGATGTATGGATAAATGAATGGATAGACAAATGATGAAGCAAAAAAAAGAACCAAACAGATGTGGAGATGGATGGATGGAAAAAGGTCAAATCGACGGATGGATGGATGGATGAAAAGATAAAAAAATGGTTTAAAAGAAAGATTGGAAGGAAGACAGACAGATGGATGGATGAATGGATGGATGAATAAAAAGATTAATAAATGGTTTAAAAGAAAGAATGGAAGGAAGACAGATGGATGGATGAATGGATGAAAGATTAAATAGCTGAAGGAAGGTATGAGAGAAGGACAGACACATAGATAGATGATGGATGGATGGAGAGATTATGGATGGATGGATTAATAAAAAGATAAGATGAATAAATTGTGAAAGGACAGAAGGACAGACAGACAGATGGTTGAATTAATGGGTGACTGAATGGCTGAAGAAAAGATGGACAGGCAGACAGACAAACGGATGGTTGGCTGGATTGATGAATGGAAGGACAGACAGATGGATTGATGGATGGATGGATGTGCACATGGATGAATAGATGGATGTAACCTCTACCTCCTCTCATTCTGGGTGATAGTGCCCTTCTCCAGTTTGGCTGCAATAGAAGCTAAGACTTTACTTGCATCATTAGCAAAATCCAGATCGCGAACTTCAGCTGGAGATACTGGAACTATAGCAAAAGCCTCTTTATCTTCCTTCAGAGGAGATGTTCCTATCTGAGACACAAATACAGAGTGGAGGAGACACACTTCAGAGAATCCATAAACCAATGCTACAGTCATAGACAGAAACTCACTCACTCTGAGCATGACCGGTTTCTCTTCCTCTTTATCTATTGGCTGGTTGGTGCTGTGAACCCATGTATTGGTACAGAGGTGCCTGAGCCTCACGTATGAGTTTCTGACAAGCACAATCCAAAATACAGCTTGTTTAATATATATGTACTTAATCAGAAGTCACAAGAAGTCGCAATCTCGCTGTACCTTGGCACAAGTGAGTCTCCGCCTCTCAGAGTAGTAGGGTCAAGCTCAAAGATTGATGATATGTCATTGCCATCAGGAACAGACACCAGTGTGTACATAACCTTATCCTGAGGGTTACGTGCACGTGCTCGCATCACTTCCTGCTCCGAATCCAGCTGCGAGAGAAAAAAATTGATCAATGGCTCAGTCGCCGTCTCATTCAAGATGACACTCTGCTTTGTCTAAACTAATGTGTTGAAATGAGAGCAATAAGGTAAAGAGACCCTCAAATGGCTCACACTATGAATTTATAAGAAGCTCAGTTAAAAGGGGAGAAGCACACACACACACACACACACAGCCACACGCGCTCTCAAACACACACTCACAGAGGAACGGGTCTCCAGGCATTCTTCTTCATAGTCTGGATTTACCTGATCACAATAAGGTGAGAACAATTAGATAAACGTCGCAAATCACGTTCTCTGCTCTTGCTAACATCAAGCTCTCTAAATAGACACACTCTGATGTATTTGCATGTGCGTTTGTGTGTGAACTCTTATTCTAGGTAACATATCAGTCTAACCTCTGCAGCAAGGTAATGGCCGGTGGCCAGGTGTTTGAACCTAAAGAGACTGTTCCAGTAGCCGGCTCCGCCTCTGCAGGGATCATGCTGAACCACCTGAAAAGCATCCAAACATCTGTTTAGGTTCCCAAACCAGTAGAATCACACTTACAAAAACATCTGTTCAACTTCACAAACTTGAGTCCTAAACTTACCTCTACCTCCCAGAGTGCTTTGCTACTAGTGGCAGAGGTTGCAGACTGGCGCCCGGTGGTACGCAAAAAGACATACTGCTTTTTTCTGTGTTCATCGCATGTTAGAAACTTCTCCTGCTCCGCATGGAACAGCCTCACCACATCACCCTGATAACATGTATTTCATTAAAAGGCCATAATTATTAATTCCAGTCAAATATAGGCCTTAAAAAATAAACATGAAGGTCACTGTTTGTGCAGTGTGGATGTGCACGAAACATACTCCTTTCAAGACAACCTCCTGGTTGTCGCTCCATTTCATGAAAAGAACAATTTTCCAACTGGTAGTGCAGTTCACTGAATTCACCTGAAAGAGAAAAATATAATGGAATAGAGCAGTGGTTCTCAACCTCAACCAGTGGCGTTCCCCTTTAATTGTCAACGCTAAAGTGACCTTTTGATCCTATCAAGGACCCCCCCACCCAAGGACCGTGATTTCTATCAAGGGGGACCTCCACTGTACGCCACTGTACTGTACAGTATGCAATACACTAGTATTCCATTGTTAACATAGTCATGTGTTTATATGTGTATTTTACTTCATTGCATCCTGGATTATCCACAAGTTGATGGCTACTGGCATGAAGCGGCTGTCCGGCATTAACAGGGTTTAACACAACCTTATCGCCAATGACCACCTGAAAAACACATTAACACACACAAAACATAATAAGTGGGACTCTAATGGGTGTTTATGTAAGTGCAAGAAGCAGGACTACACGATAAATCAAATTAATAATCAAGATTACAGTGGCTGTTTTGCAGAGGTTGATGTTATACTCACATTGTCTCCAATAGAGCGGAGCTTATAGAAGGGTTGGATGTAGAACCACGAGCCTTCATTCCCTGCAGCATCCAGGGTTACACGCATGGCATTCTTCTCAAGAAGAGCCGGTAAGCGCTTATTTACCGTCAGATACTTATTACTCTTCAGATGGAGAAGCTGTAAATATGTGTGAACAAGTACACAATTAATTTGACTGCTAAATATTCTGAATTTCTACATATTAAGTGTTCTGTATTATACAGACAATTTAAATATTACCTAAAGTAATATTTGTGCTCATGTGTTTGTGAGAGATTTACCTGGATGACGTTGCCGTACTGAATTACTGTTCCTAAAAGCTTTTTGTTCTCCGATTCATTTTGTTTCTTTTCTAAATCAGCAGCATGCTAAAAAAACATATAGCAAGAAATAAAAGAATGAGAGAAAAATTTAAAAATTGTGATCTTGACATGTTGCAGGCCAGGCTCAAACCTGCATTTCCCACATGAACACCAGAACCCCACGTAAGCAGATGCAGTAACTATTGCTCTTCAGAATATCTGAGGGAGCTTCAGAGATGTTGATAAATATACTGTACTTGCTTAATTAACCGTCCTCCAAAAAGTAGTAAAAGAGTAGTAAACAAACTTTGCACTCTTTATTGACATCTTGTAACATTGTTCAGGTGGCCCACAGAGCATTCTTCAAAATCTGTTTCATTTACAAGCACATCTTTTTTTTAATTGTCAGCAACTTTTCTTCATTCTGTGTATATATAAGGTCATAAGCAGAGGGTGAACCAACTGCAGGCTGAAGCCATGAAGCCTAGGAGGTTGGCCAATTTAGCCAAGCAATCACATAAATAACTTACATCATCTTGATAATTATCCAACTGAATTAAGCATGATTTGTTTTTATAAGCATGATAGGCAACTAAAATAAATGCATACTGATTTAAATGCGGATATTGAAGTAATTTGTAAAGGAATGTTTTATACTCTTGGATAAACTTGTTTTTGATGCAACCAAAATCTACTAAATACAAATTAATCTGATAAATTTGATTTAAAAATGTAATGTTATCATTCCTTAAAAAGAGATTATCTTTGTGCATGAATACAGCAAACAACGTAAGATGAAGTTTCCAATGATCTAAGGCAGTGGTTCTCAACCCACGGCCCGCGGGCCGCATGCGGCCCGTCACGAATTCAAATGCGGCTGTAATGAATCAGTCCACTGAAGGCGAGAGTAGTGAAGAACCCAAGTGCAGTTTATTTACAGTGTGATCCAAACATCCAAACAATAATCCGAGACTTGACTTGACATGAACAGACTTGACTTGACGAGGCATGAACAGACTTGACATGAACAGACTAGACTCACCAACAGCGGGATAAATACATTCAATACACGACGACAGACAATGGCAACATGATGGCTACTTATAGGAAACAAGAGGGTCACATGACAAGAACAAACCAATGGGAAACAAGACACATGACTAAAACAACCAATCAGAACATGACACATACACAAGGCTGAGATACAAGAAGGCAAGGGAAGTATGACACAAACAGCATAAAACAATTACAAAATAAAAGACATGGAAACATGAACAAGACAAAACCCAAACACCACATTACATTTACACACATATATTTTGTAAATTTTATATTTTGGATGCGATTAATCGTTTGACAGCACTATAATAACCCTTATTTTTATTTAAATCTATACATAGACAGAATGTCAGTAATTAGCAGTTTTTATTTAGGGCTTTAAACGTCACACCAGTTCTTCTTTTTTGTCTCTCAGCTGAGGTTGATGGAAAGAAGGTGACCACGAAAGGATGTTCAAGCAAGTTGCTCTGTGGGAACGGAACACTGGCACTGGGATTACCTGTACAGTCCTATGGCTTTGGTGCGAACATGAAGTGTTGTGCGCGATCACTTGCATTTTTTTTCAGTGGATACACCGTCATTTTTGCTCATAAAGGTAAGAGTAATGCATCATTCGTAACTGTAAAGGGTCTACTTTTATTTGTGTGCACTCACAATATCAACAAAACGTTGTGCTTTTATAAAATAAAGAAATCAAACATGATGCGCTTTCTGCCGTCTCTTCTTCCAACAGGAGCGCTTCACAAAAATGAACCGAAACTCAGCGAATACATGCCTCACAGACATGATAAATATATCTATAGAAAGCTTAAAATTACTACTGAACGAAATAAAACAAACCAAAAACAAAAACTATTTCATTATGATCATAATCCGTATTTTTAGCATGTAAGTTTGGCAGTGTTATTTTTTTTAGGATTACTGATAAACTACTGTCGTTTGATTTGTATTGTTTGTATTTGTTATTTATTTTAATTTTAGTTACATTATGTCTGAATTTATTATGTCTGTATAGGTCTTTTATTAAGTTTTTAGTTTTATTTAATTTGAGTTATTTTTATACTTCAACAAACTAAATGGAAATGAAATAATATATATATATATTGAATTTATAAATGTGTATGTACATATACAGTATATATGTATGTGTGTATAGTTGTACATACACATGTAGTTTTTTGTTTTTGGTGTTTGGCTTAGTGTTATGCTAGAATCATTATTATACTCTTATACCTTTTGTTCTTTAATATTTTGAATTGTTTTTAGCTTTATTTTTTGTTTTTCATTTAAA